TATGTGGAAGCTAAAAAAAGTTGAACACATAGAAGTGAAAAGTAGAAGAGAGGTTACTAGAGGCTGGGAAGGGCAGGTGGCAGGGGGAGTAGTGAGAGACTACACTCTCCTTACACAATTACAGGATACACAATTAGATAGGAGGAATAAATTCTAGTGTTCTATAGCACTGTCCAATGACTATAGTTAACAATAGTATATATTTTCAAATAGCTAGAAGAGAGGATATTGAATGTTCCCAGCACAAGAAAATAACAAATATTTGAGATGATGGATGTGCTAATTACCCTGATCTGATCACTATACATAGTATACATCAAAACATCACTATATACCCCATAAATATGTATCATTATTATGTACATATTTGCCAATTTTTAAAAAATAAGTAGAAAAAAGACTGGTAAGTACAGGCATCTGATAACTAAGATTATGCTATTGGACAGGGTAAGTAGTTCCAAAACTCTAAGAGAAAACTGATAGTTTCATGAAACTGTTAACAAAATATCAAATGAAACAAAAAGTTAATTAGATGAGGCTAAATTAACTGATGAGAATGATTATGATTATTCATTTTATTACTTTTTGTTGAAACATTGTTGGTTTTTTTTAATGTATTGTTTTCTAGATTTAGGGAAACTTTTTTCTTTTTTCTTAAGCTGTCAATAACTTACATTAATTTGATAAAATATACTTTTTAAATAGAAAGGGAACATTTATCTTTTTCTTCCTACCTGATGGTTCCAGGATTTGGAAACTCTTCTTAAATATTCTTATTTGCAATATGGGTATTTGCACTGGTTCAATAAAAATGTACTCTCTTTGTAATAGGACATAAGTGGGCAAGTTCTTTGAGTTCTTTGCTTGACTTCTTGTCTAGAGAAGTTTTAAAAAGTCTAATCTGAGATTTCTCATGCAGTCAAAAATCATATGAAAAAAGCTCAACATCAATGATCATTAGAGAAATGCAAACCAAAACCACAAAAAATAAGATACTACTTGGCACCAGTCAGAATGGCTACTATTAAAAAGTCAAAAGCCAACAGATGCTGGCCAAGTTGGGGAGAAAAAGGAGCACTTACACACTGTCAGTGGGAGTGTAAATTAGTTCAACCAATGTGGAAGACAGTGTGGTGAAGACCGAAAAACAGAAATACAATTCTACCCAGCAATTCCATTACTGGGTATATGCCCAAAGGAATAGAAATCCTTCCATTATAAAGACAGCTACACATATGTTCACTGCAGTGCTATTCACAATAGCAAAGACATAGAATCAACCTAAATGCCCATCAGTGGTAGACTGGATAAAGAAAATGTGATACATATACACCATGGAATACTATGCAGCCATAAAAAAGAATGAGATCATGTCCTCTGCAGGAAAATGGATGGACTAGGGGCTATTATCCTTTGCAAACTAATGCAGGAACAGAAACCTAAATACTGATGTTCTCACTTATAAGTGGGAGCTAAAAGATGAGAACACATGGACACACAGAGGAGAACAACACACACTGGGGTTTATCAGAGGGTGGAGGATGGGAGAAGAAAGAAAAATGGTCAGGAAAAATAACTAATGGGTACTAGGCTTAATACCTGGGTGACAAAATAATCTGTACGACAAACCCCCATGACACAAGTTTACCTATATAACAAACCTGCCCGTGTATCCTGAACTTAAAATAAAAGTTAACATAAAAAAAGTCCGATTTGGGATTTCTCATTACAGCTAGTTTTAAATAACTAAGATTGACTGATACAAACACAATAAAGCACCTTGGATATTATCATATTTTATAGCATATATAGAATTATTATTCTTGCATTTACATACACATTCAGGTCAAGTTTCATGAAACTGATGGCAGCAGTGGCTCATCTGGCCACCGCCAAGACACCGGCTGCAGCGAGGAGGTGCAGCCTGGGCCTTCTGCTCTATGGACCCATCCCTGGGTGCCACTGCAGCTGCCCAAGCCTAGCTGTAGATCCTGGCATCTCTGTGCTCTTGGAGGCCTCGGAAGGCCTCCCAGTCCTTTGCAGGCTCAGAAGTGCCTGCTCCTGCTGCCTGGCCTCTCCCCACTCCTGGTGTCCACTCCAATCATGCAGTAAGGTTGCATCTGAGCCTGGGCACTGTCATAGCCCTGCTGGGTGGGTGCACACTTGGAACAGTATTGGGACACCAGCCCCCTGTCTCCTCAGCCCCCTTCTGGACTTTGGGCACTGACAAGCAAGGGAGGAAATCCAAGATGGGGCTGAGGGCAGCTCAGCACTGGCCTGTGTGTGCCCCTTCATGTGAGCAGCCTGGATGCCATGGATGGTGGCAGGAGGCAGACAGGCTCCTGGAAGGAAGGTGGTGGGTCACTGATGAAGCCCCACCTTCAAAGTCTGGGGGTTGGGCTGCCAGTCCTGTGGACTGGAGGTAGAGCTTGTAGTGCTTTTTCTTGTGCCCATCCATGGCTGCTGATGGACCAATCAGCATGCACTTCCCCCATCTGAAGACAATACATACCCCAGACTTAGCCAGAGAAGAGCAGTCTGTGGGGACGACCAGTTGCAGAGAGGAGCTACCCTCTCCAGGGCCTCATCTCTGCTGAGAACTGCAGAAGTTGGGTCGACCAGCTGCAGAGAAGACCTACCCTCTCTGCTGAGAGTTGAACAGATGTTGGGATGACCAGCTACAGAGAGGAGCTACTCTCTGTGCTGAGAGCAGAACAGATATTGGGAAGAACAGCTGCAGAGAGGAGCTACCTTCTCCAGGGCCTCCTTTCTGCTGAGAGCTGCAGACAACTGGATGACGAGCTGCAGAGAGCAGCTATCCTCTTCAGGGCCTCCTGTCTGCTGAGAGTGGCAGATGACCAAAATGATCAGCTGCAGAGAAGACCTACCCTCTCTTCTGAGAGCTGAACACTCACTGGGATGATCTGCCTACATAGAGGAACCACCCATTTCAGGGCCTCCTCTCTGCTGAGAGCTGAAGACTCAATGAGACAATCTGCCTACAGAGAGGGGTTACCCTACTGCAGGTCTCCTCTGAACTGTTCTCACATGCAATAAACCTTCTCTTCATCTTGCTCACCCTCTACTTCTCTGCCTACCTCATTCTCCCTGGATTCAAGACCAAAACTTGGGCAGAGGCACCACTGGCCACAGAGGTTTCCAGCCAGAAAAGCAACACTGCAATCACAAAACTAGATTTATTTTGTAGAAACAAAATAATTGTGATTATTTTTGGTAAAAATAGGAGTGACTATAATAAAGACTGTATTTCAGTAGAAAACTGTAACACAACCATTATCAAATTCTGATCCTGTTCATTTTTTTGAAGTTTTATGTCCCTGTAAACTGGATTGAGTCTTGGTTTTTCCTGATTTCACTAAAAATTAAAACTGCCCATTTCCCAAGCCCTTCAAGCTGAAGCTGGATGATTTTAGCTTCAGAAAAATCACTACAACAGATCATGTATGAATAACTTTCATGCCTGCTGCTATGGGGATCACTTGGAGAGTTTACCAGGACACCCAACGACATAACCAGAGACATTCAAACTGCAAATGAGGTAAATTCATCAGACTGCAGCTGCCATCCTCATTTCATCTTCTGAAGATGCTTTAAACTCAAATCTAGAAATCTCAACTAACTAAACTCTGGACTAAAAAACTAAGATCATAGTTTGCTCGAAATATTAACCTCTGTCTTTTGTTTTCATAGATACATACCCTGAGTTTTCTTTAAGCTATGTAACTTAACAAGAAAAACTTACACTCATATTGATAAGAAATGGTGTTTCTATGTCAACAAATCAGAAATAGTTGCCCCAAAATTAAAGACCTTAAGAAACTAATATGTTTTTTTTTTGTTGTTGTTTTGTTTTTTAAATCAGGTACTACCTCTGTTATTGATTTATTTAGTTGATTAAATTCTGGAAACTCTGCTCCAGGGAATTTTTCAGTCCTTGGATATTATTCTCCTGATTGTCGTTGCCTTTATATCCTGAGTGTGTCGTAGTCTCTCACATGGTGGTTCCCACCAGCCACTCACTCATCAAATGATTGCCATCAAGGATCAGACAACTTGGATAAGTCAACAGCCCAACTACTCAAGCCTACAAAGACTAGGCAATTTTGGATAGTGCTGACTATGTGATTTTACATCCCAGGATAGCTGTTGATGATGATGGCATCTACAGGACTCTTTGTTCCAGTGACTGCATCGGTAGCAGTAACTGAGAATAATGCTATACTGCTTTCTCATACTCCTTGCTTGCTGAAAGGATGACCAAAAAGGGAACATTGTTAAAGTAAATTAAAATTGGAATCAGGCCTCAGGAATCCCCAAAAAGACAAAACCAGGTAGGCCTTATAAATTACCTCAAGCTGGCTTGATTTGCAAACATAAGTGAAACATAAGCTATTTCTTGTAAATGCCATATTAAAGAAAAACAAAACTTATCTCAATCAATCAGAAGTAGCCAACGAACTTATATAATGGGGACTTCCCAACAGGATAGACCAAATAAAGCAGCTGTATAACTGTAACCAATCAATTTTTTTTTTTTTTTTTTGCTATACTTCTGTGTCCAACTTATAAAAGCCTCTCTCTTGCATTCCCTCAGTGGAGCTCCTGAACTGCTTCTGGTTTGGAACTGCCCAGTTCATGAGCTGTTGTTTGCTCGAATAAACTCTTTAAAATTTTATTATATTTCAGACCTAAATATATGGAGAAAGATACTGTGCTCATAGACTGGGAGACTCAATACCGTTAAGATGTCAATTTTCTCTAACTTGATCTATGGATTCTATACAATCCAAATCCAAATCCTAGTTGGATATTATACAGAAATTGATAAGCAGTGTCTAAAATTTATCTAGAAATATAGCCAAATCAATTTGGGGAAGAAGAGTAGGCACGGAGAGGCACTGTCCAGGTTGGAAGAAGACGATGAGGAGCTCCAAGAGAGAGCTCGCCCCTCCCTCCCAAAATGCTTTCCATGAGTTGCAGTTCTTTCCTAGTCTGTTTTCCCTCCTTGGAGACAGGGCCCTGTCAGTTTGTTCACTCTATGTCCTTGGTGCCTGGAGCCTATTAAATGCTCAATAAATAATGATCACAGGAATGAACGCATGCTGAAGAGACCACAGCTCATTTGCCCACCATCTGCTCAAAGCTCCTCTCGTCTGTCCTCTCCTCTTTCAGTTTTCTGCTGTCCACCTAGCAAGTTTGCCTTTGTGGTTTAGCTTCATCTGTGTAAAAACGTCCCATGTAAGGACTGACAATGTCAGGGCTCTTCTGATGTCAAATGATAGAAATGGAAGTCAAACTAGCTTAAAAAACTGAATTAATTAGCCAGTTAGTGGGATAAAGATGCAACGTTCAATAGAAATGCTGGTGCTTCCTTTCCATGGAGCTGCAAAGGCTGGTCCTTGGAGGTACCTCAGCAGCTCTTCAGAAGGTTGGCATGATCCCTGAAGACACCAGTTCCTAACTTCCCCACGTCCTCTAGTGTCCCCCCAAAACCCAGACAGTGCCTGTCCACAGCCAGACCGCCTTCCATATACAACCTCAGGGTGTTGGTTATTCTTTCCTTATGAGAAGATATTCCTTTGTCGATGGTTTTCAGAGGTTGGAAGAGACATTGACAGAGGAAGAAGTGTAGGAGGTAACGTGATGACGTACCAAGAACTCCTTACTGACCAGGCCATGCATGGCCAGGATCTTGGGGAATCCATGGCAAAACTTCTGGCCAATGAAGGCGTAGATGAGGGGGTTGAGGCAGCTGTGAAGGATGCCCAGAATCTCAGTGGCATCCAGGTCCTGGCCAATGTCATTGCGGTGCTCACAGATCTCCTTGATCACCCGGGTCCTCATGAGGGTGTCTGCGAGCAGGACCAGGTGGTAGGGGAGCCAGTAGAGCAGGAAGATGAGGACAACAGCAAAGATGACCCTCATGGCCTGGTGCTTCTGCCCCATGTGGGCCTTAAATAGCATGCACAGGGTGAATCTGTGTCAGAACAGCATGACCAGCAGCGGCACGATGAAGACAAAAGTGTGAGGCTCACTGCAACCTCTGCCTCTTGGGTTCAAGTGATTCTTTTGCCTCAGCCTCTAAGTAGCTGAGACTACAGGCGGGTGCCACCACGCCCGGCTAATATTTTTGCATATTTAGTACAGATGGGGTTTCACCATGTTGGCCAGGCTGCTCTCGAACTCCTGACCTCAGGTGATCTGTCTGCCTTGGCGTCCGAAAGTGCTGGGATTACAGACATGAGCCACTGCGCCCAGCCAACAAACAATCTTGACCAAGTGATGCTTCTGGATCAGTGTACAAGTGGCATGGACAATGGGCTGGTAACAGTCCATGCTGATGCAGGACAGTAGTAGAATACCACTATAGAAGTTGACTTCCTTCAGGAGTGAGACCACCTTGCACAGGGGTGTGCAAAAATCCAGCCATTCACCTTGGACGTGGCCCAGATGGGCAAGATCAGGGCAAAGAGTAGGTTGACTAAGGCTGGGTTCAGCAGGTAGACATTAGTGATGAAGCGGCCAACATTGCTGTATAAGATGACCAGCACCACCAGGGAATTTCCCAGCAGGCTCACTAGGAACACTAGGGCATAGGTAACAACCACAACATACTTGTTGAGTGTCTCAGTTTCTAGTCTACAGGGGCTGTAATCTTTTGCTGTAGGTGGCATGTCAGTGATGAATGCTCCTCACCAAACCACATCCATGAGTCTGTAATATTCCGTATCTTCTTCAGTTTCAGTCGTGGTTTGATCTAACTGGAAGGTTAGATGGAAGGAAATGTGATTTAGTAGCTTGGATTCAAGGCACTCTCATCAAGGATGTGAGAGCAGTTACTGGGATATCCTTTGCTTCCCTGTTGGTTTGGCAACTAGAGCTCACCTTCCTCCTTTGCCTCCAACCTGGGCTTCTTGGAGGTTGGCTTCCCAGTGTTCTCCACCTTCCATAACTCCAAGGCCTGGCCTGAGTATGGAGTAAGATGGAATACGGGGAAAACGCCTTAGCCCTAGCTCAACCTACAATTGCATCCTCTCGGCCTACGTCTCTACCTCTGTCCCTCTTTAGCCTTCTCTATCCTCAGCTGTGTCTGTGCATTCGGATAGGGGGACCAGGTTAGTCTTGGACATTCAGGGAAGGGCCAGTGCTAAGCAAAATGCAAGAAGGCAAACCTGTTCCCAGGTGACCCCTTCTATTATTTCCTTTCCTATGTTCTCCCTGATTCTTAAAATTTACTAGGTGAAGGAAGTGGTAGCAACACCTTGCGTTAACCTGTATTTTAAGCCTTGTTCTCTGTTTAAAGGAATTTTAGCCATTTGAGAGGATAAAGCCTCAATCTTGGTCCTTGAATTTACCCCCAAAATCTACAGAGTCATTCAAGACTTTTCAAGTATTTTCCTATTGTGAAGCATTTTGCTGAAACAAAAATTTCCCAGAAGCCCGATATGTGAAATAGACAAAAGCCGAGCTGCTGTGGGGGAGGGTTTGCTGATCTCCCAACACAAATGACCCCTAAAAAGCCCCTCAAAGCCCCAGGGTTCTCTAGTGAACCATTTGAAAGCCTTTGGAAAATTACTTAGATTGGTTGTAAGGACATCTAGCATCTAGTTCTCGTTCTATCATGATTCTACCATTATAAGTCTTATGACCTTGAGTGGGGTCTCATACCCCTATAGATTTCAGTCTTCTCATCTGCAAATCGAGGAAGACAGAGTCATCCACCTCTCATTTGCTGCCAGGCCTGAAGATCTATGATAAGTTCACTCAGATACACACATTTTAGTACGTTCCCTCCCTACCAGTATTTGCATTTTCACCAAAGACAAAGTCTTAGGGCAAAGCAATAAACATCAAATTGGAAAACTGTCAGCCTCTTCCCACAAAATGGCGAGGTATAAAAAGAGGGGAGGAGGAGGTTGTGGCCTCTTCACCTACTTCCATGTATGAAGTCAGAGTTTAGTACGTGGTCATAAGGGAGGAGGAGGGCAGCCAGTTTATCAGAAATCCTCAGGTCCCACAGAAATGAACACGTTTTCTAAAATAAAGTCAAGCCAAGCCATCCTACCCCAAAGAAAATCCCAGTAAGCAAAGGTGATTTCCAACCTAAGGCCCCAGCCAGGTGTGTCCAACTGTAGGAGCTGCAGCTCAGGGATCAGAGTGACTTAACAGCTAGAGGGCACTTGATGAATAAAGGGAAATAAGGAAACCAAGTCAGACGACACCTCCCTTCTGAGCCCCACCCATGTCTACATCTGGAGAAGAACAGTTAAGTCAAGGGATCACAGACTTGTGGTTAGAGACTGCCAGGGTCCATATGACCAAGCGGGAGTCCCAGGTGTGGAGCTGGGGTTGAGGATCCATTATCTGAATTCTCCACTCTATGGATGATCATTTTTATTCTTTTCCTTTTCTTGAATTTATTTCCATTTGTTTATTCCTAAACTCCCTGGTAGATCACCTGTGAAAGCTTGCAACTGTCTGGTAAGAAGAAAGGGGGAAGGATTTGGCTTTACAGCAGAGACTTCAGAAGGAGTCCTCTCTATGAGCAAATTGGGGGCAATCCAGTGGGAAGGAGGTGGAGGGCTGCACTTGAGCTATGTTTGGACAACAGGTACACAATCTTTACTTATTTTACAGGCTTCTTTGAGGTAGTCTGGTGGTGATTTGAAGGGAAAATGAATGCTCCTTTGCTGCTAGCCACTCTTTTGCACAACCAGTGCCAATGACCGGTTGATTTAAATGGCTCTGAGGCTGGGGCATAGGCCACTCCCAGAGTCTGGATGGTTAGCAGAGAGACCATAGAGCTGGGGCAGTCCACGAATGGAAGAGCTGGGGTCAAGGTCACTGCTGCCCCTATCTCAGTAATGGAGAACGGCTTCTCCTGGAACCTGCCTTAACTTCCCCCGGCAGGTAATGTCTGTCCCCTGGCTTGAGTCTTCTGGCACCTTCATCAATTCTCCATTATAACATGAACCCCACTATACTGCAATGATGTGTTTGCAAGTCCGCCCTCTCCCAGCCTGTGAGCAAGAATTCTCTTCCATTCATCTTTGTGTTCTCTTTCAGGGACTATAATAAGTGCTCAACCAACGGTTGTGGAAATAAATAATGGGAGACATTTCTACTGTGATTCATGGATCACGTGTCACCAGTGCGATTCATTGTCTACTGCTTTTGGTCACACACTCATACCACAGGTATGCCTGAAAGCTTCACTTCTACACAGCCCACCTGGTCTGCCTGTCATTGTTCCTTCTCAACCACCCTCTAATGGAAGTGTAAATCTTGCCTTACCACAAATGTCAAATTTATCATGCAACAAATGCCTACAATTCTGCCACTGGCAAGCCTATTTTTAAAGGTAGGTCATACTCTCCTGCTGGGTTCTCTTTTCATGTATAAATAGTGACAGGAAGTTTAAAGAGATAGCAGCCACTCTCAGTTTGCTTTTACTGATGTTGGTTTATCGTGCTGTGATGCCCCTTCCTTACTCACTGATAGAACCGCCATTGGATGAGGATGGTTTAAACCAGTTATGCAATCTATTGCCTACTCTCCCAGCCTTCTTTACACCTAGCAGTGGCCAAGGATATGATTTTGGCTAATGAAGGTCAAGGAGAAGGCTGCTGGGAGCTCTGGGAAAACCCTTGCTTTTCCTACCAAAAAGAAAGAAAGACACTGCTTGGCACCCTCTCTCCCTTTTCTTTCCTTTTGCTTGTGACTGCTAGAGCTGCAGCAACCAGCATGGGGCCATGAGGAAAAGGGCAAATGAATCAGAAAGAGGGCAGCCAGCCTTGGACATTGCTGAGCCCCCAACCAACATTAGCAAATGTTATGTGTAAAATAACACCACCAAAAAACCCCTCACCCGCTGTTTTTAAGCCACTGGGAGTTAGGTTTTTGTTACTAGCAGCTGAGGGCACTCTTCACTGATAACACGATCATCTAATTTGGGGTCTTCCAAACTTCCATTATCTCTAAACCACCTTTCACATTTTGGCCATGTCTGCTGAAGGGTAATATTCTTTAAATCGATTCACTTTTGTTAATTTAATTTAAAATGAATATGTAATGATTAAAATGAAAACAGATTCACCATGAATCACCCAAAACTGTTGCATTTTTACCGATGGAGCACTTTGCAAAAGCAAACTCAGCTCTGTCTATGTCTCTGATGCCCAAATTTCCTTCTGAGTTGCATCATCATAATAAACACAAATAAGGTCTTTAACCATGGCCATTTCAAGACATGTTTTCCACAATTAATTGATTTTTTCTGGTGTTTTTCTGAAAACTTTTTTTCAAGCAGCTATAATTCTAAGGTGTTATGTGTTCAAGGAGATTCATGGAAAGGACTCTGACAAGTATAGGTTTTTGGTAACTTTACGATCATAGCATTGGACTGGGTAAGAATTTCCATAACCCTACTGAAGAAACAGATGCTATTATGAAACTTCTAATCAATATCAAGCAGAACAAAGTTAATTACATGAGGTTAAATGAACTGAGGAGGATAATGTTTTTTATGAATTTTTATTTGAAATTTTGCTGGTTCTTTAAATATTTTGTTTGCTATAGTTTATGAAACTTTTTCTTTTTCTTTTAAACTATCTATAGATTACAGCAATTTGGCCAAATGTACTTTTGTGAACAAAAATGGAAACATTTACTTTTTCTCCATATAGGATCCTTCCAGAATTCAGAAACTATTTGTGAATATTCTTGTTTGTATGGTAATACAGTTATTTGTTTCCGTTCAATAGGAATCGGCTCTCTTTATAACAGGATATATTGACAGTACTGGCTATACTACTAGGGCATTGACTGGGATGTCATATTTGAAAATGTCCAGAGAAGGAATCTATAGGTATTGCTGGTGAAGTCTGAAGTCTGCTTTGGTTTGGCTTTCTAGCCTCAAGAGGTTTTAAAAAATCCAATTTGAGATTTCTTATCAAAAGTTCCAACAAAGCAAGCTTTAAAAGAAAACCTCTGTGGTCGATTACTATGTTTGCTGCATTTATTTAATTAGTCA